AAATACGAGTAGAGGAAGACACCTTTTACCACCAAAAAGTCATCCAACCCATAAATCAAAAATCATAAAAATGTTCCCAAAAAAATTCAATTTTTCTTAGGCAGACGATTTTAATGCAAATTCTTGCACAAAATACTCATAAAAGTGTAGAAAAAAATTGACAGCCAAATACGAGTAGAGGAAGACACCTTTTACCACCAAAAAGTCATCCAACCCATAAATCAAAAATCATAAAAAAGTTCCCAAAAAAATTCAATCTTTCTTAGGCAGACGATTTTAATGAAAATTCTTGCACAAAATACTCATAAAAAAGTAGAAAAAAATTGACAGACGAATACGAGTAGAGGAAGACACCTTTTACCACCAAAAATCATCCAACCCATAAATCACAAATCGTAAAAATGTTCCCAAAAAAATTCAATTTTTCTTAGGCAGACTATTTTATTGCAATTTCTTGCATAAAACACACCTAAAAGTGTAGAAAAAAATTGATAGCCAAATACGAGTAGAGGAAGACACCTTTTACCACCAAAAAGTACAACCAACCCATAAATCACAAATCGTAAAAAAGTTCCCAAAAAAATTCAATTTTTCTTAGGCAGACTATTTTATTGCAATTTCTTGCATAAAACACACCTAAAAGTGTAGAAAAAAATTGATAGCCAAATACGAGTAGAGGAAGACACCTTTTACCACCAAAAAGTCATCCAACCCATAAATCAAAAATCATAAAAAAGTTCCCAAAAAAATTCAATTTTTCTTAGGCAGACTATTTTATTGCAATTTCTTGCATAAAACACACCTAAAAGTGTAGAAAAAAATTGACAGCCCGATACGAGTAGAGGAAGACACCTTTTACCACCAAAAAGTCATCCAACCCATAAATCACAAATCGTAAAAAAGTTCCCAAAAAAATTCAATTTTTCTTAGGCAGACTATTTTATTGCAATTTCTTGCATAAAACACACCTAAAAGTGTAGAAAAAAATTGATAGCCAAATACGAGTAGAGGAAGACACCTTTTACCACCAAAAAGTCATCCAACCCATAAATCCAAAATCATAAAAAAGTTCCCAAAAAAATTCAATTTTTCTTAGGCAGACTATTTTATTGCAATTTCTTGCATAAAACACACCTAAAAGTGTAGAAAAAAATTGACAGCCGAATACGAGTAGAGGAAGACACCTTTTACCACCAAAAAGTCATCCAACCCATAAATCACAAATCATAAAAAAGTTCCCAAAAAAATTCAATTTTTCTTAGGCAGACTATTTTATTGCAATTTCTTGCATAAAACACACCTAAAAGTGTAGAAAAAAATTGATAGCCAAATACGAGTAGAGGAAGACACCTTTTACCACCAAAAAGTCATCCAACCCATAAATCCAAAATCATAAAAAAGTTCCCAAAAAAATTCAATTTTTCTTAGGCAGACTATTTTATTGCAATTTCTTGCATAAAACACACCTAAAAGTGTAGAAAAAAATTGACAGCCGAATACGAGTAGAGGAAGACACCTTTTACCACCAAAAAGTCATCCAACCCATAAATCACAAATCGTAAAAAAGTTCCCAAAAAAATTCAATTTTTCTTAGGCAGACTATTTTATTGCAATTTCTTGCATAAAACACACCTAAAAGTGTAGAAAAAAATTGATAGCCAAATACGAGTAGAGGAAGACACCTTTTACCACCAAAAAGTCATCCAACCCAAAAATCCAAAATCATAAAAAAGTTCCCAAAAAAATTCAATTTTTCTTAGGCAGACTATTTTATTGCAATTTCTTGCATAAAACACACCTAAAAGTGTAGAAAAAAATTGATAGCCAAATACGAGTAGAGGAAGACACCTTTTACCACCAAAAATCATCCAACCCATAAATCACAAATCGTAAAAATGTTCCCAAAAAAATTCAATTTTTCTTAGGCAGACTATTTTATTGCAATTTCTTGCATAAAACACACCTAAAAGTGTAGAAAAAAATTGATAGCCAAATACGAGTAGAGGAAGACACCTTTTACCACCAAAAAGTCATCCAACCCAAAAATCCAAAATCATAAAAAAGTTCCCAAAAAAATTGAATCTTTCTTAGGCAGACGATTTTAATGCAAATTCTTGCATAAAACACTCATAAAAGTGTAGAAAAAAATTGACAGACAAATACGAGTAGAGGAAGACACCTTTTACCACCAAAAAGTCATCCAACCCATAAATCAAAAATCATAAAAATGTTCCCAAAAAAATTCAATTTTTCTTAGGCAGACTATTTTAATGCAATTTCTTGCATAAAACACACCTAAAAGTGTAGAAAAAAATTGACAGCCGAATACGAGTAGAGGAAGACACCTTTTACCACCAAAAAGTCATCCAACCCATAAATCCAAAATCATAAAAATGTTCCCAAAAAAATTCAATTTTTCTTAGGCAGACTATTTTAATGCAAATTCTTGCACAAAATACTCATAAAAAATTAGAAAAAAATTGACAGACGAATACGAGTAGAGGAAGACTCCTTTTACCACCAAAAATCATCCAACCCATAAATCACAAATCGTAAAAAAGTTCCCAAAAAAATTCAATTTTTCTTAGGCAGACTATTTTATTGCAATTTCTTGCATAAAACACAACTAAAAGTGTAGAAAAAAATTGATAGCCAAATACGAGTAGAGGAAGACACCTTTTACCACCAAAAAGTCATCCAACCCATAAATCAAAAATCATAAAAAAGTTCCCAAAAAAATTCAATTTTTCTTAGGCAGACTATTTTATTGCAATTTCTTGCATAAAACACACCTAAAAGTGTAGAAAAAAATTGACAGCCCGATCCGAGTAGAGGAAGACACCTTTTACCACCAAAAAGTCATCCAACCCATAAATCCAAAATCATAAAAAAGTTCCCAAAAAAATTCAATTTTTCTTAGGCAGACTATTTTATTGCAATTTCTTGCGCAAAACACACCTAAAAGTGTAGAAAAAAATTGACAGCCCGATCCGAGTAGAGGAAGACACCTTTTACCACCAAAAAGTCATCCAACCCATAAATCCAAAATCATAAAAAAGTTCCCAAAAAAATTCAATTTTTCTTAGGCAGACTATTTTATTGCAATTTCTTGCATAAAACACACCTAAAAGTGTAGAAAAAAATTGATAGCCAAATACGAGTAGAGGAAGACACCTTTTACCACCAAAAAGTCATCCAACCCATAAATCCAAAATCATAAAAATGTTCCCAAAAAAATTCAATTTTTCTTAGGCAGACTATTTTATTGCAATTTCTTGCATAAAACACACCTAAAAGTGTAGAAAAAAATTGATAGCCAAATACGAGTAGAGGAAGACACCTTTTACCACCAAAAATCATCCAACCCATAAATCACAAATCGTAAAAATGTTCCCAAAAAAATTCAATTTTTCTTAGGCAGACTATTTTATTGCAATTTCTTGCATAAAACACACCTAAAAGTGTAGAAAAAAATTGATAGCCAAATACGAGTAGAGGAAGACACCTTTTACCACCAAAAAGTCATCCAACCCAAAAATCCAAAATCATAAAAAAGTTCCCAAAAAAATTGAATCTTTCTTAGGCAGACGATTTTAATGCAAATTCTTGCAGAAAATACTCATAAATGTGTAGAAAAAAATTGACAGACAAATACGAGTAGAGGAAGACACCTTTTACCACCAAAAAGTCATCCAACCCATAAATCAAAAATCATAAAAATGTTCCCAAAAAAATTCAATTTTTCTTAGGCAGACGATTTTAATGCAAATTCTTGCACAAAATACTCATAAAAAAGTATAAAAAAATTGACAGACGAATACGAGTAGAGGAAGACACCTTTTACCACCAAAAAGTCATCCAACCCATAAATCCAAAATCATAAAAAAGTTCCCAAAAAAATTCAATCTTTCTTAGGCAGACGATTTTAATGAAAATTCTTGCACAAAATACTCATAAAAAAGTAGAAAAAAATTGACAGACGAATACGAGTAGAGGAAGACTCCTTTTACCACCAAAAATCATCCAACCCATAAATCACAAATCGTAAAAAAGTTCCCAAAAAAATTCAATTTTTCTTAGGCAGACTATTTTATTGCAATTTCTTGCATAAAACACACCTAAAAGTGTAGAAAAAAATTGATAGCCAAATACGAGTAGAGGAAGACACCTTTTACCACCAAAAAGTCATCCAACCCATAAATCAAAAATCATAAAAAAGTTCCCAAAAAAATTGAATTTTTCTTAGGCAGACTATTTTATTGCAATTTCTTGCATAAAACACACCTAAAAGTGTAGAAAAAAATTGATAGCCAAATACGAGTAGAGGAAGACACCTTTTACCACCAAAAATCATCCAACCCATAAATCACAAATCGTAAAAATGTTCCCAAAAAAATTCAATTTTTCTTAGGCAGACTATTTTATTGCAATTTCTTGCATAAAACACACCTAAAAGTGTAGAAAAAAATTGACAGCCCGATCCGAGTAGAGGAAGACACCTTTTACCACCAAAAAGTCATCCAACCCATAAATCCAAAATCATAAAAAAGTTCCCAAAAAAATTCAATTTTTCTTAGGCAGACTATTTTATTGCAATTTCTTGCGCAAAACACACCTAAAAGTGTAGAAAAAAATTGACAGCCCGATCCGAGTAGAGGAAGACACCTTTTACCACCAAAAAGTCATCCAACCCAAAAATCCAAAATCATAAGAAAGTTCCCAAAAAAATTCAATCTTTCTTAGGCAGACGATTTTAATGCAAATTCTTGAACAAAATACTCATACAAAAGTAGAAAAAAATTGACAGACGAATACGAGTAGAGGAAGACACCTTTTACCACCAAAAAGTCATCCAACCCATAAATCACAAATCGTAAAAAAGTTCCCAAAAAAATTCAATTTTTCTTAGGCAGACTATTTTATTGCAATTTCTTGCATAAAACACACCTAAAAGTGTAGAAAAAAATTGATAGCCAAATACGAGTAGAGGAAGACACCTTTTACCACCAAAAAGTCATCCAACCCATAAATCCAAAATCATAAAAATGTTCCCAAAAAAATTCAATTTATCTTAGGCAGACGATTTTAATGCAAATTCTTGCACAAAATACTCCTAAATGTGTAGAAAAAAATTGATAGCCAAATACGAGTAGAGGAAGACACCTTTTACCACCAAAAAGTCATCCAACCCAAAAATCCAAAATCATAAAAAAGTTCCCAAAAAAATTGAATCTTTCTTAGGCAGACGATTTTAATGCAAATTCTTGCAGAAAATACTCATAAAAGTGTAGAAAAAAATTGACAGACAAATACGAGTAGAGGAAGACACCTTTTACCACCAAAAAGTCATCCAACCCATAAATCAAAAATCATAAAAAAGTTCCCAAAAAAATTCAATTTTTCTTAGGCAGACTATTTTATTGCAATTTCTTGCATAAAACACACCTAAAAGTGTAGAAAAAAATTGACAGCCCAATACGAGTAGAGGAAGACACCTTTTACCACCAAAAAGTCATCCAACCCATAAATCACAAATCGTAAAAATGTTCCCAAAAAAATTCAATTTTTCTTAGGCAGACTATTTTATTGCAATTTCTTGCATAAAACACACCTAAAAGTGTAGAAAAAAATTGATAGCCAAATACGAGTAGAGGAAGACACCTTTTACCACCAAAAAGTACAACCAACCCATAAATCCAAAATCATAAAAAAGTTCCCAAAAAAATTCAATTTTTCTTAGGCAGACGATTTTAATGCAAATTCTTGCACAAAACACTCATAAAATGTAGAAAAAATTAACAGACAAATACGAGTAGAGGAAGACTCCTTTTACCACCAAAAAGTCATGCAACCCATTAATCCAAAAACATAAAAAAGTTCCCAAAAAAATTCAATTTTTCTTAGGCAGACTATTTTATTGCAATTTCTTGCATAAAACACACCTAAAAGTGTAGAAAAAAATTGATAGCCAAATACGAGTAGAGGAAGACACCTTTTACCACCAAAAAGTCATCCAACCCATAAATCCAAAATCATAAAAAAGTTCCCAAAAAAATTCAATTTTTCTTAGGCAGACTATTTTATTGCAATTTCTTGCATAAAACACACCTAAAAGTGTAGAAAAAAATTGACAGCCAGATACGAGTAGAGGAAGACACCTTTTACCACCAAAAAGTCATCCAACCCATAAATCCAAAATCATAAAAAAGTTCCCAAAAAAATTCAATTTTTCTTAGGCAGACTATTTTATTGCAATTTCTTGCATAAAACACACCTAAAAGTGTAGAAAAAAATTGATAGCCAAATACGAGTAGAGGAAGACACCTTTAACCACCAAAAATCATCCAACCCATAAATCCAAAATCATAAAAAAGTTCCCAAAAAAATTCAATTTTTCTTAGGCAGACTATTTTATTGCAATTTCTTGCATAAAACACACCTAAAAGTGTAGAAAAAAATTGACAGCCCGATCCGAGTAGAGGAAGACACCTTTTACCACCAAAAAGTCATGCAACCCATAAATCCAAAATCATAAAAAAGTTCACAAAAAAATTCAATTTTTCTTAGGCAGACTATTTTATTGCAATTTCTTGCATAAAACACACCTAAAAGTGTAGAAAAAAATTGACAGCCAGATCCGAGTAGAGGAAGACACCTTTTACCACCAAAAAGTCATCCAACCCATAAATCAAAAATCATAAAAAAGTTCCCAAAAAAATTCAATTTTTCTTAGGCAGACTATTTTATTGCAATTTCTTGCATAAAACACACCTAAAAGTGTAGAAAAAAATTGATAGCCAAATACGAGTAGAGGAAGACACCTTTTACCACCAAAAAGTCATCCAACCCATAAATCAAAAATCATAAAAAAGTTCCCAAAAAAATTCAATTTTTCTTAGGCAGACTATTTTATTGCAATTTCTTGCATAAAACACACCTAAAAGTGTAGAAAAAAATTGACAGCCAGATCCGAGTAGAGGAAGACACCTTTTACCACCAAAAAATCATCCAACCCATAAATCCAAAATCATAAAAAAGTTCCCAAAAAAATTCAATCTTTCTTAGGCAGACGATTTTAATGAAAATTCTTGCACAAAATACTCATAAAAAAGTAGAAAAAAATTGACAGACGAATACGAGTAGAGGAAGACACCTTTTACCACCAAAAAGTCATCCAACCCAAAAATCCAAAATCATAAAAAAGTTCCCAAAAAAATTCAATCTTTCTTAGGCAGACGATTTTAATGCAAATTCTTGCAGAAAATACTCATAAAAGTGTAGAAAAAAATTGACAGACAAATACGAGTAGAGGAAGACACCTTTTACCACCAAAAAGTCATCCAACCCATAAATCAAAAATCATAAAAAAGTTCCCAAAAAAATTCAATTTTTCTTAGGCAGACTATTTTATTGCAATTTCTTGCATAAAACACACCTAAAAGTGTAGAAAAAAATTGATAGCCAAATACGAGTAGAGGAAGACACCTTTTACCACCAAAAAGTCATCCAACCCATAAATCAAAAATCATAAAAAAGTTCCCAAAAAAATTCAATCTTTCTTAGGCAGACGATTTTAATGCAAATTCTTGCACAAAATACTCATAAAAAAGTAGAAAAAAATTGACAGACGAATACGAGTAGAGGAAGACACCTTTTACCACCAAAAAGTCATCCAACCCATAAATCCAAAATCATAAAAAAGTTCCCAAAAAAATTCAATTTTTCTTAGGCAGACTATTTTATTGCAATTTCTTGCATAAAACACACCTAAAAGTGTAGAAAAAAATTGATAGCCAAATACGAGTAGAGGAAGACACCTTTTACCACCAAAAAGTCATCCAACCCATAAATCAAAAATCATAAAAAAGTTCCCAAAAAAATTCAATCTTTCTTAGGCAGACGATTTTAATGCAAATTCTTGCAGAAAATACTCATAAAAGTGTAGAAAAAAATTGACAGACAAATACGAGTAGAGGAAGACACCTTTTACCACCAAAAAGTCATCCAACCCATAAATCAAAAATCACAAAAAAGTTCCCAAAAAAATTGAATTTTTCTTAGGCAGACTATTTTATTGCAATTTCTTGCATAAAACACACCTAAAAGTGTAGAAAAAAATTGACAGCCAAATACGAGTAGAGGAAGACACCTTTTACCACCAATAAGTCATCCAACCCATAAATCCAAAATCATAAAAAATTTCCCAATAAAATTCAATCTTTCTTAGGCAGACTATTTTATTGCAATTTCTTGCATAAAACACACCTAAAAGTGTAGAAAAAAATTGACAGACAAATACGAGTAGAGGAAGACACCTTTTACCACCAAAAAGTCATCCAACCCATAAATCCAAAATCATAAAAAAGTTCCCAAAAAAATTCAATCTTTCTTAGGCAGACGATTTTAATGCAAATTCTTGCACAAAATACTCCTAAATGTGTAGAAAAAAATTGATAGCCAAATACGAGTAGAGGAAGACACCTTTTACCACCAAAAAGTCATCCAACCCATAAATCCAAAATCATAAAAAAGTTCCCAAAAAAATTCAATCTTTCTTAGGCAGACGATTTTAATGCAAATTCTTGCACAAAATACTCATAAAAGTGTAGAAAAAAATTGACAGACAAATACGAGTAGAGGAAGACACCATTTACCACCAAAAATCATCCAACCCATAAATCCAAAATCATAAAAAAGTTCCCAAAAAAATTCAATTTTTCTTAGGCAGACTATTTTAATGCAAATTCTTGCACAAAATACTCCTAAAAGTGTAGAAAAAAATTGATAGCCAAATACGAGTAGAGGAAGACACCTTTTACCACCAAAAAGTCATCCAACCCATAAATCCAAAATCATAAAAAAGTTCCCAAAAAAATTCAATTTTTCTTAGGCAGACTATTTTATTGCAATTTCTTGCATAAAACACACCTAAAAGTGTAGAAAAAAATTGACAGCCCGATCCGAGTAGAGGAAGACACCTTTTACCACCAAAAAGTCATCCAACCCATAAATCCAAAATCATAAAAAAGTTCCCAAAAAAATTCAATTTTTCTTAGGCAGACTATTTTATTGCAATTTCTTGCATAAAACACACCTAAAAGTGTAGAAAAAAATTGATAGCCAAATACGAGTAGAGGAAGACACCTTTTACCACCAAAAAGTCATCCAACCCATAAATCCAAAATCATAAAAAAGTTCCCAAAAAAATTCAATTTTTCTTAGGCAGACTATTTTATTGCAATTTCTTGCATAAAACACACCTAAAAGTGTAGAAAAAAATTGATAGCCAAATACGAGTAGAGGAAGACACCTTTTACCACCAAAAAGTCATCCAACCCATAAATCAAAAATCATAAAAAAGTTCCCAAAAAAATTCAATTTTTCTTAGGCAGACTATTTTATTGCAATTTCTTGCATAAAACACACCTAAAAGTGTAGAAAAAAATTGACAGCCCGATCCGAGTAGAGGAAGACACCTTTTACCACCAAAAAGTCATCCAACCCATAAATCCAAAATCATAAAAAAGTTCCCAAAAAAATTCAATCTTTCTTAGGCAGACGATTTTAATGCAACTTCTTGCACAAAACACACCTAAAAGTGTAGAAAAAAATTGACAGACAAATACGAGTAGAGGAAGACACCTTTTACCACCAAAAAGTCATCCAACCCATAAATCCAAAATCATAAAAAAGTTCCCAAAAAAATTCAATTTTTCTTAGGCAGACTATTTTAATGCAAATTCTTGCACAAAATACTCCTAAATGTGTAGAAAAAAATTGATAGCCAAATACGAGTAGAGGAAGACACCTTTTACCACCAAAAAGTCATCCAACCCATAAATCCAAAATCATAAAAAAGTTCCCAAAAAAATTCAATTTTTCTTAGGCAGACTATTTTAATGCAAATTCTTGCACAAAATACTCATAAAAGTGTAGAAAAAAATTGACAGCCAAATACGAGTAGAGGAAGACACCTTTTACCACCAAAAAGTCATCCAACCCATAAATCACAAATCATAAAAAAGTTCCCAAAAAAATTCAATTTTTCTTAGGCAGACTATTTTATTGCAATTTCTTGCATAAAACACACCTAAAAGTGTAGAAAAAAATTGACAGCCCGATCCGAGTAGAGGAAGACACCTTTTACCACCAAAAAATCATCCAACCCATAAATCCAAAATCATAAAAAAGTTCCCAAAAAAATTCAATCTTTCTTAGGCAGACGATTTTAATGCAAATTCTTGCACAAAATACTCATAAAAAAGTAGAAAAAAATTGACAGACAAATACGAGTAGAGGAAGACACCTTTTACCACCAAAAAGTCATCCAACCCATAAATCCAAAATCATAAAAAAGTTCCCAAAAAAATTCAATTTTTCTTAGGCAGACTATTTTATTGCAATTTCCTGCACGAAATACTGATAAAAGTGTAGAAAAAAATTGAGAGACAAATACGAGTAGAGGAAGCCACCTATTACCACCAAAAAGTCATCCAACCCCTAAATCCAAAATCTTAAAAAAGTTCCCAAAAAAATTCAATCTTTCTTAGGCAGACGATTTTAATGCAAATTCTTGCACAAAATACTCCTAAACGTGTAGAAAAAAATTGACAGACAAATACAAGTAGAGGAAGACACCTTTTACCACCAAAAAGTCATCCAACACATAAATCTAAAATCATAAAAAAGTTCCCAAAAAAATTCAATCTTTCTTAGGCAGACGATTTTAATGCAAATTCTTGCACAAAATACTGATAAAAGTGGAGAAAAAAATTGACAGACAAATACGAGTAGAGGAAGACACCATTTACCACCAAAAATCATCCAACCCATAAATCCAAAATCATAAAAAAGTTCCCAAAAAAATTCAATTTTTCTTAGGCAGAATATTTTAATGCAAATTCTTGCACAAAATACTCCTAAAAGTGTAGAAAAAAATTGATAGCCAAATACGAGTAGAGGAAGACACCTTTTACCACCAAAAAGTCATCCAACCCATAAATCCAAAATCATAAAAAAGTTCCCAAAAAAATTCAATTTTTCTTAGGCAGACTATTTTATTGCAATTTCTTGCATAAAACACACCTAAAAGTGTAGAAAAAAATTGACAGCCCGATCCGAGTAGAGGAAGACACCTTTTACCACCAAAAAGTCATCCAACCCATAAATCCAAAATCATAAAAAAGTTCCCAAAAAAATTCAATTTTTCTTAGGCAGACTATTTTATTGCAATTTCTTGCATAAAACACACCTAAAAGTGTAGAAAAAAATTGATAGCCAAATACGAGTAGAGGAAGACACCTTTTACCACCAAAAAGTCATCCAACCCATAAATCCAAAATCATAAAAATGTTCCCAAAAAAATTCAATTTATCTTAGCAGACTATTTTATTGCAATTTCTTGCATAAATCACACCTAAAAGTGTAGAAAAAAATTGACAGCCCTATCCGAGTAGAGGAAGACACCTTTTACCACCAAAAAGTCATCCCACCCATAAATCCAAAATCATAAAAAAGTTCCCAAAAAAATTCAATTTTTCTTAGGCAGACGATTTTAATGCAAATTCTTGCACAAAATACTCATCAAAGTGTAGAAAAAAATTGACAGACAAATACAAGTAGAGGAAGACACCTTTTAGCACCAAAAAGTCATCCAACCCATAAATCCAAAATCATAAAAAAGTTCCCAAAAAAATTCAATCTTTCTTAGGCAGACGATTTTAATGCAATTCTTGCACAAAATACTGATAAAAGTGTAGAAAAAAATTGACAGACAAATACGAGTAGAGGAAGACACCTTTTACCACCAAAAATCATCCAACCCATAAATCCAAAATCATAAAAAAGTTCCCAAAAAAATTCAATTTTTCTTAGGCAGACTATTTTAATGCAAATTCTTGCACAAAATACTCCTAAAAGTGTAGAAAAAAATTGATAGCCAAATACGAGTAGAGGAAGACACCTTTTACCACCAAAAAGTCATCCAACCCATAAATCCAAAATCATAAAAAAGTTCCCAAAAAAATTCAATTTTTCTTAGGCAGACTATTTTATTGCAATTTCTTGCATAAAACACACCTAAAAGTGTAGAAAAAAATTGATAGCCAAATACGAGTAGAGGAAGACACCTTTTACCACCAAAAAGTCATCCAACCCATAAATCAAAAATCATAAAAAAGTTCCCAAAAAAATTCAATTTTTCTTAGGCAGACTATTTTATTGCAATTTCTTGCATAAAACACACCTAAAAGTGTAGAAAAAAATTGACAGCCCGATCCGAGTAGAGGAAGACACCTTTTACCACCAAAAAGTCATCCAACCCATAAATCCAAAATCATAAAAAATTTCCCAAAAAAATTCAATCTTTCTTAGGCAGACTATTTTATTGCAATTTCTTGCACGAAACACACCTAAAAGTGTAGAAAAAAATTGACAGACAAATACGAGTAGAGGAAGACACCTTTTAGCACCAAAAAGTCATCCAACACATAAATCCAAAATCATAAAAAAGTTCCCAAAAAAATTCAATCTTTCTTAGGCAGACTATTTTAATAGAAAATTCTTGCACAAAATACTCCTAAATGTGTAGAAAAAAATTGATAGCCAAATACGAGTAGAGGAAGACACCTTTTACCACCAAAAAGTCATCCAACCCATAAATCCAAAATCATAAAAAAGTTCCCAAAAAAATTCAATCTTTCTTAGGCAGACGATTTTAATGCAAATTCTTGCACAAAATACTCATAAAAGTGTAGAAAAAAATTGACAGACAAATACAAGTAGAGGAAGACACCTTTTAGCACCAAAAAGTCATCCAACCCATAAATCACAAATCGTAAAAAAGTTCCCAAAAAAATTCAATTTTTCTTAGACAGACTATTTTATTGCAATTTCTTGCATAAAATACTCCTAAATGTGTAGAAAAAATTGATAGCCAAATACGAGTAGAGGAAGACACCTTTTACCACCAAAAAGTCATCCAACCCATAAATCCAAAATCATAATAAAGTTCCCAAAAAAATTCAATTTTTCTTAGGCAGACTATTTTATTGCAATTTCTTGCATAAAACACACTTAATAGTGTAGAAAAAAATTGATAGCCAAATACGAGTAGAGGAAGACACCTTTTACCACCAAAAAGTCATCCAA